TGTTGATGTCGTGTTGGACCAAGGCAGTGCGGGTGCAGTCCTCATCCCTTGCCGCAAAGAGGTCCTCATTTTGGGTGAGTAGTGCCTGGAGCTGCTGCTGCTGGTCCCAATCGAGGCCCTTGCAGCTTCACTGGTAGAGCCTCGCTTCCACACAACGTTTGGCCCCCGCCACCACCACCTTGTCTGGTCCCCTGGGTAACACAGGGGCAGGATCCGGCACACTCGCTCCCCAGCTCGCAGGCCCAGTCCACCCCAACGACTGCTGCCACCGCTGCCACTGCCTCTTTTTTCCCCGGCTCCGGCAAGCCCACGTCCCTTGGCCTTCGCCGGGCCTGCCCTGCCACACAAGTCACTCTCCCTGCCACACCAACTCCTGCCGGCCCGTCCAAACTGGCCCCTGCCCAGAAGGCAAGCACCTGTTTCCCCCGGACTGCAGCAAGCTGTCCCATCACAGTCCTCACCCACAGGCCGTAGGCCTCCCATCCAGGGGGGTTGGTGCCCTCGGGCCGCGAGCTGGAACTGCGCCTCGTATATTTCCTAAGGTGCTTCCCCGTCGTAGCGCCAGCAGGTTTGGGAATAGATGGCCAGCTCTGGCGGGGAGAGCATCTCCTCTCTGGGGCATCTGCTGGGCGGGAGTAGCGGGCAGTCATGCTTTAAGAGAAAACAATGTTTCAGGTGTGAAGAATACAGATCCCCAATTCAATTGCAGCCTAAACCTTTGCCCACAAACCTTGCCCCCGCTGCGATTGGAATATACACAAACAAAGCACTGAAAGCTTTACAGTAGATGAACAGGTGTTTCGTAGACGTAGGGATAGTACGTAATTCTGGCTTTATGAACTCACACCTGGGATTTGATTAATTCAAAATAAGTTTAAAAAAACTGCACAAGGTACTAGATCTTGTTTATATTAAAGTTATATCACTGCGCAGTGGTGGACGGTTAGTGGACGGTGTGCTATTTTGTCAGCAACCTGCTCATCTGCTTAACACCTGTAGAAAACATGATTTGATTTCTGTACGGAATGCATGTTGCATTTACAAAATTAAAGAGTTTCAAATGTTTAATTAAGAAGTAAAAAGAATTTACAGCTTACACAAAGACTCAAAAACTACGTGCATAAAAAATGTTTTAACTGATTTATATACAATCTTTTCACGTTGATTTAAGTATCCTTTCAGTTGGATTGCATGATTATTGGTATGATTTCTCTGTTATTATTGAATCCATCAACTTGTTCACTTGTGATTATTATGTAAATATTTTGACATGTTCCGTTTAACTCGGAGTTTGTAATGTCAGATGCTCTGAACAAGTTAAGCTTTGATGCAGTACATATACATGTATTTCCCACAAGCTATACTGTAGTGGCTTTAAAACTATACAATATTGTGCTGTTTGCATGCATCTTTGTTCAAATTTTAAAACTACAGTATGGAAAAACAAGTGTTAAGAAAAAACAGGGCATTTGATTGCTGGTTGCCTAATATTTTTTTTTAAATGAAATAAAAAACAAGAAACTTTGACGTGTTCCTGCCGAACTCAAACATGCCTTTAAAAGCCATAAAAAATTGTTAAAATAGCAGAAAGTCACCTTGGTCTTTTTCACAAGAGGCTCTGTTAAGCAGAGTTTTTGTACACAATACAACTTTGTCTTTCAGTGAAAAAAATGACAGCGGGCACTTTTCCTTCCCACCCTATATTCTCATGTACGAGTAGAATAAGCGAACCTTCCAATGAAAGACAGGTTCCTTTCGCCCAAGACTGTCAGGAAACAGTCGAAACTCGCCACACCCTGACTGTTAATTCGATCAACCTATTTTTATAGCCTTGCAAATACACTCACGCTGTAGGATATGCACTCGACACGCCACAGGTGTCACATTTACTGTACATGTCAAACCAGTTGTTTTTAGGTGCAGACGCGCTTCCATTGTGATTTTTTTCTCCATAGCCTCAGCTTAATCATTTACTTTATACAGTTTGCCTATTCAGTAATGACATTTTTATTGTAGATAACTATGTGGGGAGATTATGTAGATTCCAAAACACTCTATGGCAGCAGAAGTGGGCAATTACCTGCTCGAAAATGAATGT